GAAGCCCCCCAAAAAAGTCCCTGTGAAAAAATCCACAGCTCCTAAGTCCGCTTCGGCGTGGATATCTGCAAAGCGATGAGCTAGCTGGTTTTTTCTTCAGCTTATGTCCCCCTCTGACCCCTGTAGCCGGTGTTTAGACTGTGACAGAAAGCTCCCTTTCCACGACGGTCACAGTCGTTGCCTTTTTTGTTTGCGGGTGGCTCACTTAACTCAAAGCTGCAAACACTGTCAGGCTTTTACTAAGGCTGCGTTAAAAGCTAGGAGGCCAAGGCTTCAATACCATCTTTGGGACCTTGCTTTGTCATCCTCTAAACCTGCCCCTATGGAGCTTCCCTCAACTCCTGCAGTTCCCCAGAATGAGGGTCCTTCTTCTTCTCAAATACCTGAAGATAAGCAGGTTGAGAAGCCCCCCAAAAAAGTCCCTGTGAAAAAATCCACAGCTCCTAAGTCCGCTTCGGCGTGGATATCTGCAAAACAGACAAAGAAGAAATCCTCAGCCAAAGATTCTGACACCCTGAAACAACTACTGCCGGTGTCCATTTCTGTTCCCTCTCCCATTCTGGAGGACTCTTCTAGGGACAGGGATTCGCTGTCTGAGGTCGCCGTCTCGCTACCTCCTCGACAAGCTGAGCCTGCTCTCCCTGCAGCTATTTCATCACCGATGCCAAGCCAATTGGTCGGTGCTACTACAGGCTTAATCTCTGCCCCGCACAGCTCCACATCTACGGGCCTGGCTTCGTTGGCTCACTCTGTGTCCTCATCTGCTTCGAGGTTGAGGTCTCCATCTCGTAAGCACAGTTCTAAGAGGAAGAAACATTCAACTGATCGACGCCGCTCCCCACGTCGAGACGCAACTGCTCGTCACCGCAGTTCCCGGCGTCAACGCCATTCTTCCTCGGAGGACGATTCCCATGAGTTTGACTATCGGCGCAAGAAGCGCCGCCATCATCATCGAAGGGACTATTCGACATCAGAGTCATCCTCAGCCTCATTGGATCATCACTGACGCCGCAGAAGGGTCAAATACATTTATGTTTCCTCCTCCTCGACCCTGACGCCACCACGGAAGCATCGGCGCCGACGGAGTCTCGACGTCAGAGCATCTTTGCCTACCGCTCCCCCGATTGAGCAACCTACAGCGCCTCAGCAGCCTGCAGCTATGGCCGCATTGCCTTCAACGTCCACTGCTGCACAGCCACCTAAGCGTACAATGGCCCCTTCTCTCGATGTCGAGCGCAGGCCACCCAAAAGACCCCATTTAGAGATGCATCATGAAGAGGCTTCTTTCTCTTCTCAGGACTTGGACTCTGGCGATGAACAGCCTCAGTCTCCACCCAAGGGCGATCTCCCAGAGGGTGAAGTGGTTGAGTTGGACATGGTAGACCCCCATGCTTCTTCACCATTCAAGGATTTCTCCTCCTATACGCAAATGCTCTCTAGATTGGTGAAAGCACTTAAGCTAGATGTTGATCACCCCCCACCCCCCTCTGAAGGCCTTATATTCGGGGACATCAGTCAGGAGCGCTCCGCTCCCCCTAGTCTGTCTTTCTTACCGGCCTTACTAGAAATCTTTGACTTCACCGCCATACTTCCTACACCACACTCCACTACAAGACTACTACCTTATCTTCCAAATTGGCATGTTATCACAAACGACTCATGGGTCTTTAACATCATCCAATCAGGCTACCTTCTGGAGTTTATAGAATATCCTCCTTTAGGGCACGTGGAGTTTACATCCTATGACCCTGCTCTAGAGGAGGAAGTTCTATCACTTACTGGACAAAAACACCATCCAAAGAGTTCCCAAAAGAGACATCATGAATGGTTTTTATTCAAGGTACTTCGCCATTTCCAAAAAAGACGGTGGCATAAGACCCATTTTGGACTTAAGAACACTCAACACTTACCTTTGTCCCCGCCGCTTCCAGATGGTGACATTGGAATCAATAATCCACCTGCTGCACAAAAACAACTGGTTTGTGGTAACAGATCGGAAAGATGCCTATTTCCACATAACCATTCACCCCAGTCATTGCAAGTTCCTGTGGTTCATATTTCAAAACAATGTCTACCAGTTCCTAGCTCTACCATTTGGACTTTCGACAGCTCCGCGCACATTTACGAAATATATGGCCCCGGTAGCAGCATACCTGCGTCTGAATGGGGTGAAAATCTACCCTTATATAGACGACTGGCTAGAGGTCTCATCTTCCAGAAGCCAAGCCTTGAAGGACACAAGTTTCATTCTCCATGTTTTACACAACCTGGGTCTTACAGTAAACCGCAAGAAATCCCGCCTCATACCTTCACAGGTTGTAGATTACATCGGAGCCACAATAGATGCCACCGTGGGTTGCATCTTCCTTCCAGCAGAACGCATTAAAAAGCTGCAAAAGGCCATCAAGAAATTTTGTCCGAAGGCCTGGGTGTCTGCAAAACATGCTCAGCACCTGCTAGGGCTGATGGCATCCACGACACCTGCCCTAGCCCACGCTTGTCTCAAACTCAGGTCTCTTCAAATTTGGCTCCTCTCACTGTTCAATGTGCTTTCGGATCACCCCAAGAAGCATCTCAAGGTGACCCGGGAGCTAGCACAGCAGCTTCGGTGGTGGACTTTCATACCTCACCTCAGGATAGGCCGACCATTTACACCCCTTCGACTGACTGTGCAGGTGACCACCGATGCAAGTCCCACAGGATGGGGAACACATTGCGGGCAGCATCGCATTCATGCTCTATGGTCATCACAAGAACGAATTCTCCACATAAATCATCTGGAGTTAATTGCCGCCATAAAGGCCTTCAAATCCTTCCTTCCACTGATATATGGTTGTGGTGTTCAGGTAGTGACAGACAACACCACGACCATGTATTATATAAACAAACAAGGAGGAACCCACTCCCAGTTGCTTTTTTACCTGGCCGTGCACCTCTGGGAGTGGTGCTGTCACAGACAAATCTTTCCGGTAGCAGTCCACCTTGCAACAGGGGACAATATATTGGCAGACGAACTGAGCCGTCGCACCACCCAAACACACGAATGGGAGCTCCACAACAGGACATTTGTAGATCTGTGTCGTCTTTGGGCAACTCCACAAGTAGACATCTTTGCCACTTACCGCAACAAGAAGTGCCAATTATACGTGTCGCGAGGAGGTCTAGGAATCGATTCTCTGGGAGACGCGTTTATGATACCATGGACATTCCGCCTTATGTACCTGTTCCCACTGCCCCCTCTGGTTCAGGGAACTCTAGTGAAGCTTCATCAGGAGTCAGGGGATGCAATTCTGATTGCGCCCTTTTGGCCTCCACAACCGTGGTTTCCTCTGCTGTTGGAAATGGCCACGGAATACATGACACTTCGCCTTTCACCATACCTGTTGTCACAGAGTATGGGCGCAGTCCTTCACCCAGAACCAGAGACTTTACATCGGACCGTGTGGAGGATATCCCAGAGATTAGAGAAGTCCTAGATAAATCGAAAAAAACGTCCACTACTCTCTTATACAGCTATAAATGGAAAAGTTTGTTGAAATTTACTGAGGCCAGAGGGTTGACTTCTTCCCCGTCTCTTTGTCTACACTACTCCAGTTTCTCCGTTACCTTTTTGATTTCAAATTATCTGTTTCTACCCTCAAGGTATACATAGCTGCAATTGTCTCCTTTCAGCCCCATGAGTCTGATTCATCTCGACTATTTTCTCACCCCACAGTGAAGACCTTTCTCAAGGGGCTAGTTAATTTGAGACCACCCGTTCGACCTCCAGTTCCCCAATGGTCTCTCCAACTGGTACTGCACATGTTAACACGTACTCCATTTGAACCCATGGCTACCTGTGACCTCAAGATTCTGTCTCTTAAATGTCTCTTTCTGATAGCCATCACCTCTGCTAGGAGAGTCAGCGAGTTAGCTGCCCTCCAAGCTGATCTACCATATCTACAATTCTTCAAAGAAAAGGTGATACTATATCCAGACAGATCATTCTTACCTAAGGTGGTTACAGACTTTCATCTGAACCAGCCTCTAATTTTACCTACATTATTTCCTAATCCCACCACAGACACTGAGCACATGCTCCACATGTTGGATGTTCGACGATCACTTGCCTTTTATGTTGCACGTTCTAAAGAATTTAGACTTTCCAATAAAGTGTTTCTGTGTTACTTCGGACATAAGAAGGGTCTTCCAGCTTCCTCCTCAACACTCCCTCGGTGGTTAGTCTCCGCTATAACTCTCACTGATCAGCTACAACAAAAGGATCCTCCAGAGGGTCTTCGTGCTCACTCGACAAGGGCGATGGCTTCTTCGACCGCCTTGCTTCATGGGGTTGATGTTCCGGACATATGCAGATCCGCTACCTGGTCGAATGTTTCCACATTCATCACCCACTACAAGCTGGATCTGAGGGCTAAGAAGGAAACATCTTTTGGGAGAGTGGTGTTAACTTCGGTTCTCCAGTGACGGCCCTCCTACCAGTAAGTTAGCGTGCTAGTCACCCTTTTTGTGTGCATTCACAGAAGACCACGCAGAAGAAAGACGGGTTACTTACCTGTAACCATGGTTCTTCTAGTGGTCATCTGTGAATTCACACAATCCCGCCCGATCTCCCCACTATCTGTCACTGTCAATATCTGACTCTTACTCAGGTATCTCTGGCGGAAAAATGAAACTGAGATTTGGGCGGGCGGAGCATGCGCAGTACAGGCTACCTTAAACTTTGTTTCTTTCTCTTTAGCTGGAGATTTAACCCTTTTTGTGTGAATTCACAGATGACCACTAGAAGAGCCATGGTTACAGGTAAGTAACCTGTCTTTTCTCTGAAGCTTGATGTTCACTTGTTGACATATCCATTTGTTTCATTTGTATCTCATCATTCTCTCAAGAAAAGGACTCAAAGCAGCTTACAGTTAAATAAAGTTTTGTTCAACAAACTGCTCCTTTTACACCCTCTTGATCTCTCTCTCTCTCTCTCTCTCTGTCACATGATTCATCTTCAGTTCCTCCTGGAGTGATACAAAATGGAGCTCGCATACTGAGTAGAGGAATTTTCCCAGGAGTTAGACCACTGCCAATAAACCCTATTGGAAGCATGGCTGCTGCAGTAAGGTAAGGATACTGGATGTTCAACAAACTGCTCTTTTTACACCCTCTTGATCTCTCTCTCTTTCTCTCTCTCTGTCACATGATTCATCTTCAGTTCCTCCTGGAGTGATACAAAATGGAGCTCGCATACTGAGTAGAGGAATTTTCCCAGGAGTTAGACCACTGCCAATAAACCCTATTGGAAGCATGGCTGCTGCAGTAAGGTAAGGATACTGGATTACAGAATCAGTGTCACAACACTAATCTTTCTGTGGCTGCTGTGGTCTCAGTTATGTCTCCCCTGCATGGTTTTCATTACTGCCAGAGTTATGGTTGCCACAACAGTGCAGATTACCAGGTACCTTGAAATGAGAACTCCAAAAGGACTGTGATAAACCTGCAATTGATCTAGCAGAATTTGTGGCAAGTTTTTCAATGGCTTTATATCTTGCAGTTTTGTTTTGTTTTCCAGTGAGACCAAGAGTGCAACCAGATGGATTTGTTTGGTCTGCTCTAGGCTGGTTCACTTATTTTCCCAGTGACCACATTACATATGAGCCATTGCACACCAGCCTGTTCCTGATCTATGCCTACCCACACCTTTTGCAGCACCTGACAGGGGCTTGTTTCATTTCATTTCATTTGGTGCAGGTAGAATTTCTTTCTTTTGGTTTGGTTCCGGCATGTGTGATCGTTGGAATAGAACCAGAGCAGCGGGCTTAAGATACTGGATGATAACCGGAAATTGAAAGCTTCTTCCCACTCCCCCATGGAGGAGAAGAGAAAGGAAGAAGGGCTGGTTTGTTTTTTAAGCCCCAAGTCAGTGCTGATGTGCTAGATCACTGGTTCTTAACCTTGGGTTACTCGGGAGTTTTGGACTGCAATTCCCAGAAGCCTTCACCACTAGCTGTACTGGCTGGGGTTTCTGGGAGTTGCAGTTCAAAAGCATCTGAGTAACAAAGGTTAAGAACCACTGTGCTAGATCTCTTAGGGAAAAATATTTGAAATGTTCCTCTCGCTCCCCCCCTCCATGTGAGAGCAGGAAGAAGCTTTCAATTTCTCATTGTGAAACACTTGAAGGAAAGCACAAAGCAGGGACAAGAAGGGAGAATTTTGGGTTGTTTTTTTTTTCCTTTTAAAGGAGAAGAATAGCCAAACAGTCATTTCATGTGCATTGTGGTTGATCCTTGCATGTGGATGCAAAGATTTCCCCAAATGATATACTACACCTCAAAGTGATCCTGTTAAGCGTGATTCAGACTAATCTAGGCTAGGATAATCTGTCTGGTGAGGCTATTCCTCTACTCTTTGTGCTTTTAGCCACACTTAATACCTAAGTAAAGTGTGTTTCAAATCCATATAATATATTATGCTGGTCAAAAGCCACCGATGCTTACTACCTCTTTGCCACAGGATGGATCTAACAGAACAGAGTAGGTGCAACAGACTATGGTTTGGAACTTGTTTGGCATTCTTACCATTCTTGCTAGGTACCATTGGTGAAATACTTCTGTGAAGAGTGCACTCAGTCCATAGTCCATGTAATCCCCAGATTATTTGTATACAAACAGCTACTTCTGTGCTTGCAACATATGAATAATGCAGGTTTTTGGCTTTTAGCTCAGTATTTGCCAACATGCTGAAATCCACTTTATATTTGTTTTGTTCTCTCTTTTTATCCCACACATTTCACAGTCGCATCCCATTCAAGTCATTTATAGACTGCTCTCTTTTCACACAGTAATTGATTGAATGAATGGCATTGTTGCCTAGTTTGTGTGCAGGCTCACTTGGCTGCTGGCCCTTGAGCCAATTAGTAAGTGATCTTGTACAGTCATTTCATCTTTGGGTGTCCAGTCAAAAGTGCAACAGAATGGGGATTGTTTAGATAATGTGTATTGTTCAAAATACTAAAACCAAGACAAATTCGCCACTTGACATGCGGAAAGATTAGCCATGGGAGATTATGTCATTTTACTATTATGCTGTTGTCCCTTTGGCTTAAAATGCATAAACAGATCTTCTGTTCCAGACTAATCTGTAAATGGAAATACACTATTTTTAGTGTGCAAATCATTATTATCTGCCATTGAAGTTACTCAACAGACTTTTTTTTTACAGCCATCTTAATTTTACTATACTCACCCTGCTTTTCCAGACCTTTTTTGAAGGGTAGAGGGGGGTGAAATAAACAGTTTGATTTCTCTTTAGGAGGCACGCCCATACATATTACTGCCACAGTTCTAAAACATTGCATTCAACCATGACTGATACTAGAAAACCAGAATCATACATTGATTTAAATTTGGATGCACAATGTGCAATCCAAAGATTTCAGCAGCCCTTGGAAAAATTCTTTGCCCATGAGGGGAGTCTAACAGGGGAGGAGAGGGGAATTCAGAGCAATGGGAGTGGGGAGTCTTCTGTCCTAACGTCAGCTGGGGATGTCAACTGCAGAGAACAGGGTCTGAATTGAACAGAGAAAAAGAAAAGAAGTGGAATCCCTTTCAAAGTCTTCAGTTTGTTTGTCTATAAACAATTATGTGGCACTCCACAAGCATCCTGCTGTGTGGAGAAGGAAGGAAAGAGAGGAAGAAAGGGCATGGCTGAAAGAAAGAGAAATTGTATGTTTTTCACCCTCTTCTGATTCTTTCCTTGCTCATTTTGGGCTCCACCTCAGTTCAGGCCATTTGGTCCTGGAATGAATTTCCATGAGAGAATACTTGTGCCTGGGAAACAAGCAGTCTCTTTGTTTGGGGTCCATGTATAACTGTATACATTTTTGCCATGCAGTCCCACTCTCATGTCTGAAGAAGTGGACTTGTCCACCAAAGCTCATATTAAAATATAGCATTTAATCTTTAAGTTCCACAATGTTTTTGTTTTCTTCTTTATTTTTATTTTTTAATTTTTGTTTTGTTTTTCTTTGACACACTAACACAGACTGACACAGCTACCTCTTAAAACTCTGAGGGAATGTGATAGGTTGTCAATAACAAAAAGCAAGCAAGCAAAATAAGTTTATAGCATGGCACACAGGCCATTGCAACATACATCGGATAAAACAATATAAAACAATATTAACAATATACAGACCATTAGAATATAGTACAATAAAATATTAAAAGCCATTTAGGATCAGGTTGATTTCTATTACAGCACAAAATTTTAGCATTTAAGGAGAGGCCAAAGACAGATGGAGATCATTAACCAATGCCAGCAGCAAGCAAAAAATTATTCTCAACTGGATGAGATGGCTGGCCAGTATCATCGAAGCTACCAATATGAATTTGACCCAACTCCGGGAGGCAGTGGAAGACAGGAGGGCCTGGTGTGCTCTGGTCCATGGGGTCACGAAGAGTCAGACACGAATAAACAACAACAACAAAGCTTTACAGAACAATTTAAGTTAGGATGAGTTGGTGGTCTATGATCAATTTTGGTCTGTTTTTACAGGTACAATGTCACAGTGAAATGAGAAGTCCCTGAAATTTTCCTGTGTTTATCTGTTTTAAAACAAGTTCCTACCTGGCAACATTAAGTTACAGCCATAAGATAAAAAACCACTTATCGATGGTAAAGTTTCTTGTATAGTTCCAATGTATTAACTGGGGATTGAGTATGAAACCTTCCCAAAAAATATGTCCCCTGGTTTTTATTAGAAGATTTTTGTGGAATTGGTTCTGTTTTTCTGGATGGGACCATATACTTCTTGGTGGCATCATCTCAATCAGTGTACTTTTATTTCCTTTTGGCAATGATTAAAAAAATTGTGGTGCATACATAGTATGTAAACAAATGACCACTGAATAATTTCTTGTATTTTCACCCCACAGTGATATCCTCTATAAAACTAGGAGCTGATTGACAACATAGCTAACATGTTTTATTTACCTAAAGCATTTTGATCTGGCTTGTGTACATGGGGTTCCTTTGGAGTGAGCTGGTGTGGCTATATAAGTTTCGCAGGGGCCAGTTAGAGGTGTGATATGTCACTTGGTGTGATCCTCACATCCAAATGGCATATCAGAGCTCAAGCAACCATGTTTGATCCGGCTCCTTCAAGTTTGAATTTACGATATCAAAGTTTAATAAGTGAGCTACTTCAGGATATTGGGGGGGGGATGAATACTCCCTCTGTTCCTAGGCAGAGGGGCAGAGGAAGTTTAAAAAAAAACTCTATAATAGACCATCACTGATACATTGTATTACATGGGGGGGAGAAAGTATTTAATTCAGTGCTGATATCCTAAAGTGGTTAAATTATTAAACCAGTGAATTGGCTTAATAGTTGAATTGGAAATTCAGACCTGGAGGCTTGATAGCCAGAAGGCTCCTTTAGGTCCATTCCCAGTGATCACAAGTGCTGGAAATGGAGCAAACCAGATCAACCCTACCCACAACAAAAAATAGAAGCCCCTGACAGGGACTCAGAAAGCTGTGGGTAAGAACACTCCGGGGATGATTTGGTTCACTCCAACAATTACATCTTGTGATTGCCCCCCCAAAAAAGGAGTGAACCAACCTGGTCCTGGAGTAGACCAAATAGCAGGCGTAATGGCAGTCTGATTGTACCCTTACTTAGCCAAAATAGCTCCCAGAGTGGCTTACAAATATTAGCAGTAAGATCTCACTGCTCTTAGGCCTGATGTCTGCAAGAGGTGACCAAAAAAAGGGGGGTGGAAATGGTGGGGGAAAGAGGAAGAAAGAGCCAGATAACAAAAAGCAAGGGTGGGATTGACTTTTTAAATGTATAGTTCTTGTCAGCTGGGATGAAAACAGTTTCAGGTAGCGTGACAGATCAGTTCCCAGTAGGTTGGCGGCTAGATGACAGTTAGGAAAGCCATAAGCAGCTAATCTGTCAGTAGAAATGATGGAATAACTAAGAGACTGAGCTTTGAATTGGGAAGTTATTAGTTCAAATGTTTCATCCTTCATGAACTCACAAAATGGCCTACAGGAAGTCATTTTCTCTCACCGAAGTTTTCCCCCCATCTTCAGTCAGATATAATAATACTGACTAG